CGTTGACCAGAGACGGACAGACAGACATTTCGCCGTCAAGGGACTGTTCGGTATCAAGGACTCAGAAAACACGAATTCCCTGTAACCCAACGTATTAGAGAAGGTACTTTATTACGTATAGGACCCTAGATTTTTCGCTTTTTCGATGCAAGGGCCATATAAAATGTTTTTTTCTGTCCTAAAATCGCCGATATTTGTCACATCATTACAATACTTTCCCTTCACAGCGTACATAGTACGGCGAGAAAGTGCAGGTAGAAGTCTCCAACACGGAGTGCTCTATTTGGCGGTCGGGAATCGTTGGCTCCCTGACCATCTGGCGGATCGTGCAGTAAGCGATACCTCTTTTATCTTACTATCTCTAACTCATGCGAGTCGAAAAAACATGCCGCTTATTGTGGGACCTGATGTTTCTCGCTTAAATATGTCAGTTGCAAGTGACACCTAAACGGATTCTCGATATTCTCCTCATATCCCTTCCACCCAGAGAGTAAAACAAAAGAGGACGGACGGGTTTTGGTGTTAAATAGTATGTAATGGAACAGTGGTAGGAATTAATGTGTTAAGTGATATTACAGTAGAAGAGCGGAACGAGCGAGCAGCTTAATAACTGATAAAGTCCGCATTGAGGGTTTCAGAATTGTCATTTTCTTCTGAGTTTTGGAAACAGAAGGCGGCATGTCACTCTCCACGCGTGGTCTTGGCACAGTACTACCCACAATCCCACGAAACATTTGAAAGAACGATCACCAATAAGTGATTACTTAACTGTAAACTTCTCTGTGGTTAGTCAAACGTCTGTACTGCAATGAAATTGTATCGTAATGACTGCATTATGCAACGAGCTGCAGCCATCTAATATGAGAATTATACAATGGGAGTAGAAATATTTTTTTTACATTCTGGGCAACGTAGAGTAGAGTAATAATGTAATGCAAAACATTAATATCGAGACTATAGCGGAAATGTGGATTTTGGGAGACAGTTATACCTTCTTCATAACGACTATCTGTGCGTTTGTCGGTCTGTAAACAACGCTAGCATCTAAACCGTACACAGAGTGTTCATCAAAATGGATATTCCCCAATGCCACAACTCGCACCCCTGTGAAACTGATATTTTGATTTTTGTTAAGTTACATGTCATTCGTGGAAATTTCAAATTTTTTCAAAAATTACAATTTGTTTTTTCAATTTTTGGCTCTGATATAGCAAAGTAAGCTTATAAAAACGGCACAGATGCTATTATTTTTTCTTCTAAGAATAGAAGGACTATAGCTGCAATTTTGACTTTGTTTAACCACAGACATTTTTTATCCATATTCATACCCGAGAGAAATATGCAAAGTATAAAATCATTCTTCTGAGCGCAAAAGTAAACATTGGAAGGTATAACGGCCATTGTCCCAGCGTACGGTACCTAAGATAACAGAAAGTACCATTTACTTCCAAAGGACAAAAAGTATGATACAGGTATCAAATAGAAGAAGAATATTAAGTGTTTTAAAGGTTTTTTTGACCGATAGAATTTAATTAATAATGCACCAAAAACAGCTGGGAACAGTTAAAATGACTGCTGATTATTCAATAGCATTCTGTAGATATTTACTCTTTAGGATACATACAGTAATTTTCATCACCTTCATTTGAACGATCCTTACTGTATATTGAAGGGTGACAAGGAAAAATAAATGGAGGGACACGTGTGTAAAATGTTCCTGGAAAGTTTTCGGCACCTGCATTGAACACATAAGTTTCAAATGTGATCAAGAATAAAACGAATTAAGTAACTCAGTTGGGTCAATACGGTAATAAAAAGGGTTGAGATTTGTCACAGTTTTTTAAATTTGTCTTCATTTTCATTTAAATGTTCATAATCCCCCACTCAAAAATTAGAATGATTCCTTTAAAAGTCTTATCCTTGAAAATGACAGCCCGTTGTCTCGAAAGCTACTTTAAAGTCAGCTCTTAGTGATAAATCAGACACGACTTTTAAATTAAATTACTCCTGTATTTTATTTTACTATTTAATAAAGCCTTCTTAAGTGAGGATACTTTGTATTTTTTAAGTGGTGATTTTCTGCTTGTCAGAACCATTTGTCAGAATTTCCTCCTTCGATATGACTTTCAATTTGGCAATTCTAAAAGGATCTTTCACCAACTTGGATAATTTGTAGATGATGTATTTGCAGTGTTGGCGTTTGATAAACCAATTATTAGAGCTGGCCTGTAAGTCCTAGGAGTGTTTTACCTTTGGTTCTCATTTTCCAGACCTTTATTTCTGATACATAGGTCACTTTTTTTCAGATTTATTTATTTATTTATTTGAAAACGCCGTAAAGAAAATTTATCGTGGAGAAAATTTATCTCCAAAAAATCAAGCATTTATCAAACTCGTTAATTCAGTGTTTATATGTGTGATGAGTGATATCTGACCTGCACAAATTTCTTAACTCTAACTTTAAATAGGTTCGGCGAAATTTACTCAAATACGTCACACGCATTTAACATTAACAGGATTGGGCATTCCTTGTCCCATTAACAGTTCAAGCGTTCCCTCTTGACCGAAGCCTTGCGAGTTGTATCTAATCCACGTCAGTCCGCTTCACCCAGAGGCACGACCGCCGAAAGTATCTCGTGCGAGACAAAACGCGTGCATTCAGGCCCAGTGCTAACGCGAAACCCACGTGCGAGAGGTGTTCTGACATTTCCAGAGCGCAGCCGCGAGCATTCCTGTGGCGAGAAGCGAGCCGTCCCCCGTTCTAACCGCTGCTCCGTTTTCCACGGGTCGTTATGTAACCCACGCAGCCACCGGTCTGGCCAAGCGCTTGTCCGCGAACCCGTTACAGATACAAAGCTCGGATAACCAGACTTCGTGCGTGAAAAGATATGTGAATCATGAACCCAGTGATGTGTTCGTGTATAGCCAGACACACCATGTGTTTCGGTTCAATTGAGATAGTCCAGCAGTAAAACTATTGCTTCTGCTTTATCATTTATCTGGACGTTCTAGGTTCGAGTCCGAAAGATTGCAATATTTTCAACACGTTACCTTGCTGGATCGAATTCAGACGTTGTCTAGGGTAGAATTCTAGGTAGCCGGCTGCACTAATCGGTTGTTTACCGTGGTTTCTCCGTTCAATACCAGACGAATGTTGGAGAAGTTCAGCAACAAACGGGTCACGAACCGCACGCGATCTTTCTTTCCTATTCCTTTCCTATCCATCCCTTACTTCCCACACTTGCATTTACTATTTCGGGAGGCCAGCCGGAAGCTTAGAGCTTGTCCCGGCTGGGGCGCTGTCCGCTGGGAGAGATATCTTGAAGGTGATTCCTCCGTAAGCCGACGATCTCACCATCCAGTGGGGGAGGACCATAGCCACCTCTCGGGATCAAAAATTCACTAAACTAATGGGACTAATCGTCATAGAAGTTGAGAAATGTAATTTTAATCAATCTAAAATTTTATTGATCGGCGAAGGATCCCACCTTCCAGCAGGACAGGAACACCGCCACCTCTTGAAATATGACATTCTCTACAGCGATGGGATCTTAGCCCGAAAACTAAATATCGATCAACAGTCACAATAGTATTTGATTAAACAAGGTGATGAATAAAGAGCCTTCTGACAAGCCACAGAGCAAGTAAGATATCTTTTTGGGGGTAATTAAAGCATATTTCTTGTAATATTTTATTTTTATTCCATTTCTTTTAGTTGAATACAAAATCAAAATCTTACGTTAGGACAAATAGTGTCCTGAGCCCCCGCAAAGACGAATGTTGTTAAAAATGTTATCACTCGCTGGCGATAAAAATATACTTAATTAGCGCATTGATAACTATTCAGAAATGTCTTCTATGATAATAATTAATCTTCTATGATATATTAAAATGAACGCTTAGCATGTTTTGAGGATGGGAGTTATCTAAAATTATAGTTTTAATTTTCTATCTTGCGTTTATCTACTCAAAATCTTCGACTTTCTTTTTCATCTTTTCTTCTGAAATCTTAATTTGCGAATAAGTGACTATTCCCGAAACTAACTTGTCTTGATAGTCAGAAAATTAATTCTAAATTTCATGAGTAAGGACAAAAACATTGCTGCTATGGAAGCTATATCCCAATGGTCCCTCGTATATTTCAACCTGAAGCAGAACACAAGTTTTGAGTTCGACATATCGAGGTTTGTTAATGAAATTTCAGTTAATCGAGATTGAAATCGTGGGAGTTCGCGTTTTTACATTTAAACTAGAGTGTTTCGAGTTACTGGGGTTCGAGTAGACGAAGCTCCAGTTAGCATAGATAGCGATGTTGAAGTTAATGAGATTGACTTAGAAATATTCGAGTTCGTGAGCTCCTTGTTTGCGTGGTTGGATAAAAAGGGTTGAAATTTCACAAGGCTTGAGGTCACGAGATTATATTCAAAGAGGTCTGAATTAAATATGTCTGAGTTAAGGAGGTCCGACTAATGTTCGAGTTATGGAAGCCCGAATTAAATATGTTCGAATTAAAGAGGTCTGACTAATGTCTGAGTTATGGAGGCCAGAATTAAATATGTTCAAGTTAAGGAGGTCCGACTTATGTTCGAGTTATGGAGGTCCGAATTAAATATGTTCGAGTTTAGGAGGTCCGACTAATGTTCGAGTTAAGGAGGTCTGAATTAAATATGTTCGAGTTTAGGAGGTCCGACTAATGTTCGAGTTATGGAGGCCAGAATTAAATATGTTCGAGTTTAGGAGGTCCGACTAATGTTCGAGTAATGAAGCCCGAATTAAATATGTTCGAGTTAAGGAGATCCGACTAATGTTCGAGTTCTGAAGGTTTAATCATTCTTTTCGAGTAAACGATACTCGAGTTGAGAGGTTTGGCCGTTGAGCGCGTGGCTAACCGCAAGCGGTTCGGTTCGCAGGGCCGCCCATGAGCCCGGAGTCGAGCCGGCTGAAGGCCTGAGCGCCGAGTCGTCCCCCGCTGTCCCGGGCAGCGACAGCGTCTTCTACAGCCGAGGGGGGACCAAGCGGGGCGGGGCGGCGGCGGCGGCCGCAGCGGCAGCGGCGGCGCAGCGGCGGCGGCGGCGGCGGGCGCGGCGGGCGCGGCGGCTTCGGCGGCGGGCGACGGCGGTGCGCGGAGTGCTGTGCACCACTGCGGCCGGGAGGTCGACCCGCGCGCGGTGCTGTCCGGGCCCGAGGTTAGTGCGATATAGCAGTCAGCTGCTGGCTGCCGAGCGCAGCGCGTTGGGCCAGAATCGGCCGTTCGCGAAGTGGTTGAGATCGACCCGCTGGGTCGAGTTTGTACTTTACGAGGTGGTCGATAGTTTCAATTAAACTGCGACGCTACTAATTGACTCTCCTCGTGGCTGACTACTTGTCAATTATTATTATTATTATTATTATTATTATTATTATTATTATTATTATTATTATATTGTTATTATTATTATTTATATCGTTTTTAACATCTGATTATATATCGATCACTGTGATTGTTTTAACGTGTGGATAGCTTGAACACATAAACATCATGCCCGAGGTTGGATTCGAACCGCGACCCTTCCACCTAAGGGAGCTACGGCTCTTCATATTATTATTATTATTATTATTATTATTATTATTATTATTATTGGTAATTTGGTATCTATTATTATAAGTAATTATTAGAAATATTGGTAGTAAGGGAAATATAGTTATTGAAATTATAGTCCTCCATGTTCTCGCGGCATGTCGATTCCGTTGAGAGGGACGACGGCACAATGAAGGATAATAGCTCAAATCTGTTGGTGATTTGTCTTTGCAGATAGTTTTAATTACATGGGAGCGAAAGTTTTCTTATTAATTCTTGTCAAAAACGTTCATTTCTATTTGTGTTCAGTATTGAACTTAGGGCAGACCTTGCCCTTAAGGAGCTGTTGTGCCAAACTACATATATATGGGTTAGGGTAAGGATCCCAGAATTTAAGAAACTATGCACAGACCATGTTCCCATTATTTCGGCACGCACCGGCTTTAACTGCTTTTGATGTTAAATAAAGTTCAAAATGCATGCGGTTTCAGTAGGTAGTATCAAATTATTTAAAAAGATTTAAGCCAGTTTAACTCGACTACGCCATCAAGTGTTCCACGACGGAACATTCATATTTTGGACTGAAGCAACACGAAGCACAAAGTTCAGGTTTATGTTAGCGTTGTAGATTTCAAAAAGGGGCTAGTACGGGGAACAAATACGTTACATGCACGAACTTTTGATGCATGCAGAATATTATCAATATTTTTCAGTTCACTTTTTTAATAAAATTATTTTAACTTATAAACTTGTTTCAATTTGCATTTTTATTTTGTGAATGTGAAAATTACATACTTATGGTTTTCGTGTCTTAAGTTTCTTGAGTGCGGTTGTCGACATCTAATGTTGAAAAAGATAGTGCTATTAGCCTAAACACACACTTGTAATGGTTTATGAATTTGTGATTAAAAATTTATTTTTAATATCTAGGGAAATGTTTGATATTTCATTAAACAACTTTATTAATTTGTTTACATAAAGTTAATTTCTCTGGCAGGTAAACAGTTTAATAGTCTTAAATTATTATAATTATTATTATTATTATTATTATTATTATTATTATTATTATTATTATAATTTTTTGCAAACGAAATCTGCGACCTACAACGTTTCTGAAGCCTGGACTACCCGTACGGTGCATGTGCAAGTTAAAATCCTTTTGTTTTTTAAGTTAATCACTTTCCGCAACGTTCAGCATTTCACGATTACGTGTTAATTAATTATTGGTATGTTGATCATGAGTAAAACAGAATTGTGGCGTTGTTCATGTAAACAAAACTATACTACGTCGCCCACTTTTCGGAATGTTCTGTATCATCAAGGCTAAAGATGCAGAAAAACACAGTGTTAAATTTACATTACACACGAAACAATTGAAAATAATGAAATATTAAGATATGTGCTGTTTGCACGGTTGTTTACGATAAAAGCATTTTAAACAAGATAACGCAAAAAATACCTTACTATATTACAACTTCAGAGGTTACCTACACTTCTTACTTAAACAGTGGTTACCGGCTTATATGGCTCAGAACATCAACTGATGTCACTGAAATGCATCGGATCGGGAGGGTCTAGCGTTCGAGTCCCGTTGGAGGCAGATTTTTGACGCTAGCTAGATTGCTCGGTCAACTTCATCCTCTGTCTGGAGGAGCACTCTAGCATTGACTGCTCTGATCGATAGTGTTTGTTTTTTTCGTACATCAGACAAGTGCCGGAGCAGTACCCCCAACAAATGGCACACGGGCCGCGCGCTATCTTGCCTGCTTCTTCCTTGTCTTTGCCTTACCCGTTACTTCCACACCCGTACACTTACGTGAACTGAACATTACTGTGTATGTCATGAGACCAGTCACATGCTTAGAACTTCTCCCCGCTGGTGCGTTGCCCCGCTGGTGGGAGGTATGTGGTTCGGGAAAACCCTGCAGGCTGAAGTGTCGGTCGCCGCCGGATCTCACCAACCACCTGGGAAGATCACCGGGATAAATGTGTGCACTATACTTACAGGACTAATGACCTTACTAGTTCACGCGCCCAGAAACATTACGTAATTAATCAACCATAACAAAAAATCATTTCAGTTGATTAATGTGTAAGTGTAACTTTAATATTACGTTGTTTCTGCATTATGAACACTGATGGCAGAAAAATACGTTTCGAAACAATGGAGAACTAGAATAGTTTTTGTTTCCCTGACCAACGCCCCGCTTGATGATCGTATATATTTCATTCGCAACTCTTTGTAGTAAATCTATAATAATTTGACATAAATGATCTTAACTGTTGAGGTGCTTTTCAACCTGAGTCAGTCAATCCATCAGAAACTCGAGATCTATTACAAAACGTCTTTCATGTTACGAATATTAGAAAGAGAAAATGAGTTGACAATATTTGTTTCCCGGTGGATCCTCCCATTGAGAAGTGGCGTGTGACTTAATAAAGGATGTAATCGAATCACTAAAACTAATTTACTGGAGGCACTTCTCTCATGAAATTCGAATAATTACCTCGATGTGAGAAATTATATAATCGGCCGTTTCAGAGCATTTGAATATGCACTCATGATCAGAATTTCATATGATTACTTGCGATTAGAAATTGGTTATTTGAAATTGAAATTTTAGTTCATTATTATTCATTATGAACAGCAATTACAGCTGCGTCGCATACGAGACTAATCCATTATTGGTATTCGATTATTAAGAAAATTCGATTTCCGAGTGTAAATAAGATTGTCGGACTATTGCATTGGAGAAAGTAATCAGTACCTTTATGACGATTACGCTAACATACCCAAATCACACGACAAAATTAATTCAAGAAGAAAAGTAAATGTTAATGTAGATAATATAATTAGAGAATGTGATTTGGGGTTATATAGCAGTATCCATTCTCTTGCACCTTTATGTCTATTGCATTCCAGATTATTTTGGAAATAGTGATAAATTCATCCTGAAAGAAAATTTTAACAATCGTACAAATAAATTTAACTTTAATTCCTTACATTTTTTCTTGGACCATGGTAATGTCTAGGCCCCTCTCCAACCGAAAATTACAGTTTCATAACCGCAGATATCGCAGACAGATCATCCAAATCATTTCAACGGACTTCCGTGAGAGAGGAATTTTACCCGCTAAATTAAACTAGTGGTGCTACAACTGCACATACTTTCTTGCATGCTTTCTAAATTTGAATAAAAAATTCAGAGGGGTCTACGAAAATGACACCCACGCGATTCTTTTAAGCGCCCTTCATCTATCCGTGGAAAAAAAATTGAAGTAAACATTTGGGGCGCTTTTTGAGAGAGAGAAAAATTGGGAAATTTTATAAATTTCAGACACAAATTACGCAAAATCTACTAGTTCTTTCAAAATATTGGACATGAAATTTTTTAAAGAACTTGTTTTTTACAATAGATATTGTCTACAATAGATATTGTTTAGATATTATCTTCAATTTTGTTTGAAATATCTTTTGTAATTTATGAAAAAACGGTGAGTTTGCCGAAAATATGACTAGTATTATATTTTTACCAGCCCTTGATACACACGAGGTGAAAATTTTTAAAAAATTGAAGCGGTTGTTGAGGGAAAAATATGAAAAAATTAAATTATTTAAAAAATTTAATATATTTAATATAAAATTAATATAAATATAGTGTAATATTAAATTTAATATAAATTGCTCTTTTCCAATTTTCGAAAAATTTGGGATTTCAACAAACGAAATACCTGCGCCATTCTCTTAAGCACACTTTACGCTATCCGAGGACAAAGTTTAATAAAAAATCAATGCAAGTTTTGAGAAAATTTTGAAAATGATTTTGAGACTTCATGTTAAGTTCAAAAATCAAAATATCCGCTTAAAACTTCAAAGCCTTGACTTCATTCAGGATCTATCAGGAAACAAATTTTCGAGAAAATCGGCTGAACGAAGTTGACCACAGACAGACGAATTGTAGTCAATTTCTACAGACAAAATTTGTAGAAATTGAATACATACCCAAGTATGGGTATGGGAAGTTCAACACATGGATCTTAAATTGGCGACATTTTCGTAGATCACATATTTCTATTTGTATATTTAAGTTAGTTTCATCTCATATGTTAATTAAATTTGATTTCATAATTTTCCTCTATGTAGTGCTACTAAAGATGGGATTATTTCTAAAACACGTGCCTGGTTTATTACTTAAAATATTGAATACATGTTTAAAAAACTTGTTTGTTGATATTTCTTGAATCCTTAATAATTGCGTATACTATTCTTCGATTTATTTGTAATGATACTTGACGTTTAATCAGTTTTTATGGTGTTATTCAATAGGAAGCTTGAACATCATCATATGTTCGTTACTGTAGGTGCGACGCGCCACTGTAGCGTGTCATACAATACGGAGCTTGAACGTCGTCATAGGTACGTCAGTGTTCAAGCTTCCGATTGGATGATACCAAAAAAGTTGACGCACCGCAAGTGCCACTACAAATAAACCGAAGCATCCAATATCTCTGCTGCCATCACGGAAATGAATCCTACCCTCTGTTTCGTCCCGCCCGCAGGACGCCGACACCGCCGCCTCCAACGGCACGACGAGCGGCACGAGTGGCGGCGGCGGCGGCGGGGCGGCGAGAGCGGCAAGGCGGCGGCAGCGGGGGGCGCGGGCCTGCGGACATCGTGCAGCCGCCTGCGGGCTTCGCCGACTCGCCGGAGGGCCCGCGGGAAGGCCGCTGGCGGTAGGGTTACGTCGCACTACTAAAAAAAAGTCTATTATAAGAATGGATTCCGTTGCGGAATTCGAAGAGGAACTGATTCTTTGGAAACGAGAAGGAATCGATTCTTCAGCATATAGAAAGAATCGATTCTTCGGCATCCAAAAAGAATCGATTCTTCGGGGTCCAGAAACTATCTAAAAAGAAGTCTTTATTATAAGAATCGATTCCGTTGCGGAATTAGAAGAGGAACTGATTCTTTGGAAACGAGAAGGAATCGATTCTTCAGCATTCAGAAAGAATCGATTCTTCGGCATCCAAAAAGAATCGATTCTTCGGAATCCAGAAAAATCGATTCTTCGGAATCCAGAAAGATTCGATTCTTCGGAATTCAGAAGGAATCATCAGATTCGAGAAGAAATCAATAGAGACATATTGCACAGCGTGGAGCATCGTAGCGTGTCTGCCAATTTTGAGCCTCTGCGCAAGCACCACTCGAACTGCACATGAGCAGAGATTCAAATGTGGTATCCGCTAGATGCTTCACGCCAGGCAAAGTTTCTGATCCTATGGAATCGATTCTTTTATATTGAAAGTAATCTATTATTTGGGAATCAAAATTTAATCTTTGGAGTTAAAATATAGTTTCTTTGACATTAAAAATCTATTCCCTGGAGCAGGAAAACAATACATTCTTTCTGAGTTTTTCCCTGAAGTCAAATGTTTAAATCATTTCTGGATGTGCGTTGGCATGATAAGCTTCCTGACAATACTGCAGGGCTGCCAGAAACAAAAAAAATTTCCTCATAGACTTTAAATTTAAGACGTAAGAGTTCGGAGCGAAACTGAAAATAACGTGATACTCACAAGTGCCCTGCGTTGCTAGTGTATTTTTTAATCTTCTATGAGACAGAAAAAGGAATGAACTCTATTCATGGTGTGTCCCCTCCGTATCCTCTCCTGTCCCCCCCTCCCCTCCGGCATCTCTTCATAACTCACCCTACCCGCCCAGCCCCATTCTGTTCCAAGCTTAATCTGTTCCGTTCCTACTCGCTCACGCCTCAGCCCAACCCACCGTACATGTTTGCTACGATTTTCGTTGCTACCTCCATCGTGAGCATGGGATGCTGCAAATATATATTGTGGTATGCTTCTAGCAATTCCCAGAAACACTATTGATCTTTGATTTTTCAAAGCCTAATTGATTTATTGGAATGAATTAAAATGCATTTAGAAGGAAATTTTATGGGCTTTCAGAAACGTTTAATTGCCTTTGGTGGAATTATTGCAAAGGAGATATTTGCAAAAAAGGCTGAAAGAGTGTATTCTTAAAGTTTTCTTTAAGGTAAAGAAAAGGAAGAGATGGGAAGTGTAAGAATATTTCCGTTGGAGGGTAACTTTTTTATTGTTTTCATTGTTTTAGGGTGTACAATTCTCAATCTGACAACCCTGCTATGTTACCACTAATTAATTTACAAACCTCATACTCAGTTCTAAATATTATTGGTCCCCAATCTGGTTACTCTGCATTGTTACCATCATTTTATTTACAACTCTCGTCCTCAACTACAACTGCGTTTGATCCCCAATCTGACAACCTTGCTGTTACCACTAATTTATTTATAACCCTCATACGCATTCAATCCCTCATACACAGCAATGTATTTTATCTCCAATCTGGCAACCACCAAGTTACCACCACTTTAACTGTTTGATCCCCAATCTGACAGGCTTGCTTTGTTACCACTAATTGATTTACAACCCTCGTACGTAACTGTAACTGTAATTTAACCCCAATCTGACAACCCTGAAGCATTACCACTAATTTACTTACAACCCTTGTACCGAGCTGTACATCTGGTTGATCCCCAATCTGGCAACCCTGCACTGTCACCATCACTTTATTTATAATCCTTGTATCCAGCCGTAACGGTATTTCACCCTCAATCTGACAACGCTACATCGTTAGCACAATATTATTCACAACTTTTGTACCGATCAATAACTGTGTTTGATCCACAATCTGACAAGCTTGCGCTGTTACCACTAATTTATTTACAACGTCGTACCCAGCTTCGTATAACTGAAATTGATCTCCAATCTGGCAACCCTGCACTGTTACCACCACTTTATTTACAACCCTCATACCCAACTTTAACTGTTTGATCCCTAATCTGACATGCTAGCTCTGTTACCATTAATTTATTTACAACCCTCATACACAGCTGTAACTGTGTTTTATCCCCAACCTGACAACCCCGGGAGCATTACCACAAATTTACTTACAATCCTTGTACCGAACTGTAAATCTGGTTCATACCCAATCTGGCAACCCTGCACTGTCACCACCACTTTATTTACAACCTTGGTACCGAACCGTAACTGTATTTGATCCCCAATCTGGCAACCCTGCACTGTTACCATCATTTTATTTACAACCCTGGTACCCAGCTATAACGAAAATTGATCCCCAATCTGGCAACCCTGCCCTATTACAACTTTACTTACAACCCTCGTCCCCAGCTCCAATCGCGTGTTACGCAAAGCGCCTCTCAACATGTGTTGTTGTGTGTGGCAGCTGGCGGCGGCGGCGGGCGGCTCTACAAGAAGCTGGAGAAGCGCTTCCGGTCGGAGGAGCGCGCGGGGGGCGGGGCCGGCCGTGCGCGCGGCGGCGGGCGGAGGCGGCGAGCGCCGACATCACAACGCGCTCCGCTGCGAGGGCGCGCGCGCCAAGTCGGAGGAGCGAGGGCGCGAGACGCGTGCCTCAGGTGAGCCCGAGCTCCGCGCCCGGGAGGAAGCGATGGCGACTAGAGCCATCAGCATGGGGATGGACTAAATTGGAAGGACTTAACTAGGGTGGGCTAAATTGGAAGGTCTAACTGGATGGACTAAGTGGGAAATGATTGACTGGGTGGACTAAATTGGGAAGGACGTAACTGGGATGGACTAAATTGGAAAGGACGTAACTGGGATGGACTAAATTGGAAAGGACGTAACTGGAGTGGGCTAAATTGGGAATGAACTTAACTGGGGTAGACTAAATTGGGAAGGTCTTAACTGGGATGGATTAAGTTGGGAAGGGCTTGACTGGGATATACTAAATTGGGAAGGATGTAACTGGGATGAACTAAATTGGGAAGGACTTAACTGGGGTGGGCTAAATTGGGAAGGACTTAACTGGGGTGGACTAAATTGGGAAGGACGTAACTGGGATTAACTAAATTGAGATAGACTAGATTGGGAAGGACTTAACTGGAATAAACTAAATTAGGAAGGACTTAAGCGGGGTGGGTTAAATCGGAATGAACTAAACTGAGAATGACGTAACTTGGATGTACTAAATTAGAAAGGAGATAACTGGAATGGACTAAATTGGGTGGGACTGAACTGAGATGGGTTAAACGGAGGACTAAACTGGGACTAGGATGAACTAAACTGGGGGGAATAAACTAGAATGGAATAAAGTGGAATGGACTGAACAGAGTGGAGTAGTTTGTGTAGTCTGGGTTGAACTTAACTAATTCATCTAGTCTGGAATAGTCTGTACTAAGCTACACTAATGAAATGCGTTGGACTGGGTTTTTCTCGACTAGGACAGACCCTGTGATACATTCAACTGGTTTGAGGTAGACCAGACTCAACTGGACGTGATTAGACTCTACCGGACGTAGATTCTTTGAAGAAAAATAAAAGAGAGCGGTTGAAATTAGCTCGGAGCCAGCATTGTCGCTGACTCTAATGTGACATTGGCCGAAAGGTGCTAAGGTTTGGGTCCCGATGATGGCAGTATTTTCTACACTAGCTAAGTAGCTAGATGGAGATCAGCCGTTGCCTTCTAATGGCCGGCTCCGGTGATCGGTAGTTTCCGAGGTTTCTCCGCTTAGTGCCCGGTGAATGCCTTAGCAGTACCTTTACAAACGGGAAGCAGACCATGCGCGATCTTTCCTTCCTCATCCGTGTCCCATCCTGTCCCCTAACACACGCTTACACTTGCTTGCACTTATCTTACCACACGTGTCGAGAGCTTGGAGCTTGTTTCGGTTGGGGTGGTGTCCAGCTGGCGGAGTTACCTTCACAAGCCGACGACTTGGCTAGCACTGGATACCGCCTTCACGGCAAACAACACCGTCACTTTCCGCTAAAAAAACCTCACTACACTAACGTCAACTGTTCACGCGCCTGGAAAACACGAAATAATCAATAGGTAAATAGACTTCCTTGATTGGCTGACTACACTTGGAGAGGCTCAAATGCACTTGCATAGTCTCGACTGTACTTGAATATGTTCATCTGTACTTGGATAGGTTCCACTACAATTGGATATGCTCCATCTGCACTTGAATACGCACGCCAGAACTTGAATACGCTCGCCTGCACTTGGATAGGCTCGCCTGCTCTTGAATAGTTTCGCCTGCACTTTATTAGGCTCGCCTGCACTTGGATACACTAAAGACTAGAAACTGAGGACTATATTATTTGTATTTTATATTTTTTATTTTAAAAGAAATAAATCTTTATAATATATTTCCATACAATTGTAAAAAAAATATTCTGAGTAATTTAATAATTATTGTTTTACGATATATAGGAAATGAAATAGGTATTTTTAGTAATTAGAATTATTTTGAGCTTAAATTACATTACATGAAAATGCCAAAAAAATAAAATAGTCAATTTAACGTTATATACAATTTGATATTCTTCGTATTTCTATCGTCCTGACTTTGTATTGGAGATAAAGAGATAAATGCCTGAAATAGAATAGAACACCCGTAAATGTGCCATTCCTTAAATGTCATTCTAAGGATAGTAATTAAACCATTAGTGGCCCTTCAAAAGTGGATTTCGGGAAGAATTGGAGGTGCGCGAAAACACTTAAGTGGTGTTTTTTTAAAAAAAATTGAAACAAGGTTTTAAATGAAAAGTGAAAAAACAATGGCTTTGGAATAAGCTATGTGTAAAGTCGTTGTTTTACACTTCATTCATCGCTGTACATTTTTATGTGTATAGAAAAAGGAAATGTTGACAAGCGAAATTAAGTCCCACATGGTTTCATCTTTTCACTTTCTCGCCTTAATACGTACGCAGTTCGGCAAACATTTTTAGGCAGAAGAACTCGCATTGTCGGGCCCTGACTTCCGCCACACCAGCAAAAGAAAAGCTCAATAATACGTGTGCATAATAAAGCTACGTTTATGTTTCGAAGTAAAAGAAGGGATCATCTTAACATTTTCTCGGTGGTTTAGGGAAACGGAACAAAAATCTGATGGAGATAGTTGTCAAAGACCCAGAAGCTGAAGTACATTACCTCTTACAGTCACATTAATTGAAAGGTGGGTGGATGAGTGGGTGGGTGGAAGGGATCACCCTCCCACCCACCCACCTGCCCGCCTCCCATTTTATAATCCTTTGGTAATAAATCAATGTAGTGTGTAACAAATATATTAGGAAATGACGGCACCCCACTCCCCCACCAACACTTTTCTTAACGCATTTGCAACACTATTGGCCGAGGTAGTGCTTTAGCTCGCCAAACGGCGTTATGCGGCCAAGCGTAGTCTCTGCCAAATTTCGTAATGCACCTGTGATATAAAAGACCCTTTGTTGCGAAATAGCAGTGAGGCACTTCTCGTCAGCGTGCGCATCCTAGAGGCAGGAAGGATGTTTGGCAAACGACTCTCATCCTTAGTTCCTTGTAAGAGCTTCTGCGGATTAGAACTTCATTCTGAGGTTTAGCGACAATTGACGTTAAAATGTTTGTAGTACTACTAGCGCTGGCGAGGTAAGGTGGCATGTGCAAGTGGTATTATGTTAGCTATCGGTGTTTCGTAGTTTATAGTTGTTTGATATTTCTTCTAAACCGGGTATATTTGTTCAAACAAAAAAAATAAAACTTGAATTCTACTAATTGATAGAAAGTACGTCGAATGATTGATATTCACTAAAAACGTTACCTGAAGCATCGCCTACCTTCGTATTTTTGAATTGAGTGTAAATGACTAGACACTGAAACTTGAAGGGAATTTCCTTACCGAAAATTGTATAATTAACAACATAATATAGTAAGAGTTCTAGTAACAATAAAACTACACCTTTCATTTTTTTTTATTCCCATTCTAGATAATGTCTTTCTTAATTACATCATTCACCTCCTCGATTTTGAACAAATTATTCCGTAAATGTCTATAAATTGAATAGTTAAATACAAGAAGGGTGAGATTTTTCAGTATACCAAATATAACAAAAGCATCCTGCAGATGATTTAGTTGCAAAAAAAAATTTGTAGTGATGGAACAACTTTTCATCGCTCGTTTCACTTTCATCGTTGAAATGTTATTTTCTTATAAAAATATTCTGGATTTCAAAAGTCGGGTTTTAACTTACAACAATCTTGAAATGTTAATGTAATTTAGTACTTCCTTCCAGGTGAATTGAAGTTCAAATGAATAACGTGCGTATCACTTTCTCGATTCTTTACATCCCATTTATTTGACTTTATTCAAGATGTTTTTTCTCATTTTCGCCCATCCACGCGAAACTTCCTTACCAAAATCCACTACTTGCCATAATCCACCAAGTAACTCATTCGACGCATCAGGGGCCCAGGCATGTTAAATTAGGCGATATTCCGAGTGACGTGGCATCTTAAGTGACGTGACATCTCGAGTGACGTGTCATCTCGAGTGACGTGTCATCTCGAGTGACGTGTCATCTCGAGTGACGTGACATACCAAGTAACAAGACATTCCGAGTGATGTGACATCCCGAATGGCGTGAAACTCTCAGTAACAGAACACGCAGAAGGATGTGACCCCTCAACTCGGACTTCCTGGCACTTCGTGTTAGTTGCCTTGATTCTTGTCTCTTCTCTGGCCTCAGGCCGCTGGCACGCTCCACCGACGCCAGCATGGAGGTGCTACGCGCCGCCGCCTCCAGCCCCAACGTGGCCGCCAGGGACGCCGCAGGCAGCGCAGGAGACCTCGACGAGGAAGAGGACGAGGACATCGGTGAGCTCCGCTCCCTCCACTCCCCTCCACTCCACTCCCTCCACTCCACTCCATTCCATTTCCACTCCCACTTTCCTCTCCCCCTTCCATCTCTTCACACCACCCCCACTCTCTCACCCACGGTGGGGGGTGGGGAGCACGGCCGGATTTACCTATAAGCAAAACACGCAGTTGCTTGAGGGCCCCTTCACCAGGGGCCCGCGTTTCGGAAAATACGCATTACCATATTTTTTTTGTCTGTGAAATAATTGTTAATCAAGTAGTCTACTGTGTAACGAAATGTACAATTTCAAAACATAAGCTGAGAAGTCTTCGTTTTGAAGACATCATTCGACCAATTTTCTGCAGTGAAGAGCAGAAAAAAAATATGTAAAATGTATTTAATGTAAAAAATGTAACACAAGTAAAAATTTCTATAAAAAATTATCAATTTTCATTTGTATCTGTACAGAAAGTTCTGCACTATAATACATTTTTTATTTAATTAAGATGGAGCTATTTTTTTTCGGAGGAGGGGGGGGGGCCACAATTTTGTGCTTGGGGCCCCGCACTACTTAAATCCGGCCTTGGTGGGTAGGCTCGCAAGACGCTGCACATCCTTTTCTTTTATATTCCACGTTTCTGCGGCGTAAGTTATAACTGGTCTTACCACTGTCTCAGACAGTTTGAGTTGTGCACCCTTTGATGTCATTTTACTTTTTAATAGCTGCACATGTGCAAAATACGTTCTGTTTCCTGGTACTATTCTTGCGTTTATTTCTTCTTCCACATCATTGTTGCAAGTAAAAATTGCTCCCGGATACTTATAAGAGCTCACTTCCACACAGGCTTTCTTAGTAATGTGTGGTAATGTGTATTAGAGTTAATTGGGTAACTTTAACCCTGCTCCCCATGTTCTTTGTTTTTTGAACAGTGATTTTTAACCCATAGTGAATTGCGATCTCACTTAACTCCTGGACAAATTGTTCAAGTTCTTAGTATGTGCAACCAGCAGCACATCATCTGTGTTGGCTAGGCATTGTTTCAATCATGTTGATATATTCCCTTTTATATCGACCTGTGTTAATATTTTATCCATGACCGTGATGAACAATGTCACTCATATTTTCAGCAGTGGGATGGCACAAGCAACTAATGAAACTGATTACTTTTTGGTGCAGCGAGCAAGCAATCACGTATCACTGCCGCCATTTGTAGCTCATACAGGACACAGTGTTTGTTTCCGCAGTGAAAATGAGTGACATCAGTAAAGTCCCCATTATTGGTTCACTATCTTCTCCTTAGGGGAGACTTCTTATTTTATGACCTTTGGCCGATGATATTTTTTTCAATCTGCTTAGTGTTAGAAAGTTTGTGGCAACGATGGCATATTTTCTTTTCCAGGAGGGAATTAATTTCCAAGAGATTATATTTCTTACATTCACTATAGCTGAAGTTTTTGTTTGCTGTAACAGAATCTTCTTATGATTATTTGTAATGTAAATAAAACAGGACCAGTGATTTGAGTTCACTATAACTGAGGGTTCTCTATATCTGAGTTCACTAAAATGGAAGTCATCTATATATTGTAAGATAATCTATTAATATTTTTTTAATTGAAAACAAGTTTATTAAATAAGAATATTAATTCATTAAAAAATATTTAAGATATTACATCCTCTGTCAAGATAATAACTTCAAACAACTAGGAAAATTTTAATTAAATTATTCATTTTAATTTGAAAATTTGTAATTTCGAATAAAAATCTGTAATTGTCATGTTGTTGTTGTTGTTTTGGTTGTTGTTGATTCTGTTGTTGTTTTTCTTCTTCTCCTCCCTCTCTTCTTCCTCCTCCTTCTTCTTCTTCTTCTTATTCTTCTCCTTCTTCCCTTTTTTGGTGGTCGACTGTGATTCCTTCCTAGTTACACATTTTTCACGGAATGCTTGAGGCTGTCATTCTGTTTACATGCATAAGCCATTTTGCTCTATATGTTGCTTTTTCATTGATGGCATATTCTCATATATTAAGTTCTTCTCTTACACTATTATTTGTCTTACAGTCTAATTTTGAATATCCTGCCACCCATCTTAGGAATATCATTTCACTGGTTTCTAGTCTTCTTTTATCTACTTGTGATAATTTTTAATTATTGTAAACTTTTTATTTAAGTTTTCATTTGGTGTCACCTCTAAAATGATGGCTTTCAAAGCTAACTGTGCTTAAGTATGTTTCTGTGTATTATATTTAATACTAACACATATCTGTACTCAGGCACAGAAGATAGCAACACCAGCCTGAAAATGTACTGAAAGTACTTTCAGTATGTTGCCAAAAGCAAAGTTTTGAAAAATTCTATTCACAACAGACAACCATTCTACTTGTAGTTAACAATAAGATTTGCATGTCACACCGAAAAACTGTAATAAAATTGAGATCTAGACTGAAATATCATACATTATACAGCAGGTGAGCCCTTCCATGAAATGAGGGGGTTCCCTAACATGGCCTACTTTCCTCTCCCTTCTAGTAAAGGAATAATTTGCGTTCTTGCTCTTTCAATACAAAAAGTATGCATTTCTTAAATGTTTTATTGTCCTCCAGGAGTGTATGCAGAATCCTACAGGAGTGCAACATGGATTTATATAGGAGATTCAGAAGAAATGCATGTATGGCAAAAACCAGAAACGAAAGGTGATGAAAAAGGTAAATATTTTTAATATAAACCTTCATTAAGCAACAAATTTTAATTACATTCAGATTCATCAAGCCTTTTTATTTATTGAAATATAGATTTTATTTCTGCTGTTTGCATTTTTCCCCCCAATTACTTATTTTTTACTCATTAAGGCTATCTTCGTAAACTATTTATTTTTTATTGTCCTTGTTGAAATTTTTCTATAGCAAATTATCTAGTGAAAAAAATTATTCTCTGCTGAGAATGTTATTCCACTGTCAATACAATTTACAAATGCCAGAATGGGGTAAATTGCATTACGTATCCTTGACAGTAATTTTACGGAAACACAAGATTTGACATTTAAAAAAAAGGATGTTTGTCATTTCAACTATTCATCATTCATTTACTAAATGATAACAGATAGAAATAGCAATCAAGAGAGAAAAAAATTTATTTACTTGTGAAACTTAGCTTGCTCGTTTTACTCCATTCCTTTAGGAATCAAATTTTTCATTTATAAATACACCAACTCTCTTGAACTTTAAATTGCTATTATTCCATGAAGAAGGTTAATTTATAGAAACTATTATTTAACCTATTTAGGTCCATTGTTAAACATTGTTTACCTTCAGAGTTCTGTTTCTTTCTTAGACACTTATCAGTAATTGTATTCTATTAATTAATATTAAATATCTTTATTTTCAATTTGTGTTTATATGCATGTGTTAACATTAAGCAGTATTGAGTAGGAAATTATTATTGTAGAAAGTTGTTTATGTAGATTAAAATAGGATGCAAACTTGACAATTTTCTCTAGAGGGGAACATCAAAAGCTCCTTAGGATCAATCAAAGAATCTGCAACAAAGACCATCTTCACTTACACAACAGCCTGAATGAATTACACATTGCTGAGATCATTAATATAATGATCTCAGGAATGTTTGCTTGTTCAGTTTCTTTCACTTAAATTCCTTAGTTTGAACTTTCCTTATGAAAATCATAACTTTGACACTTTTTTGGATTAATGATATCTCTGGCAAGAAGAAATTAATACTTTTCTGCCAGGGGAGATCAAAGAGGGATGGTCCCCAAAATCTCTCTTACTGATGATTTACTCAGAGAACTGAGAGAAAATATTTGGCTTAAATACAGAGAACATAAGAAGTGTTAGGTTGGCCTCCAATAATGATAAAAATAATGTCACGTTAGTTTAAGACTTAAAATATATTTGCTTATGAAATAATGTTTTGTGCAAAACATTAACAATTATTCAGAATTTTATCTAGTACCAGGACAATTGACATTGACCTACCCTCAACTTGGGCTGTATTGTTGAGCACTTCTGAATATGACCCAACCTGAACACCCAACACTACCAACTTTTTGACTACATACCATGTTCACTGCTTAGCATCAATACAATGGCTTCACTCGTCTTTACTCATTATGGTCGTGTTTTTGAGCTTTTCTTTGGCTAGTTGTGGTAGGAGTAGAGCGAGGGTGAGAATTGCTATTTTGTTAGCAATAACACCAAATCAATTCTGTAGTTAATTTACTGATACAAATAAGTTTTCTTTTATTTAAGAGCAAACATTTCTAGTTTTTAGTTGTTAAGCTCGCTTTTTTGGTACTTTTATTCATCATTGAACTCAGTACTATAGGCAAAGGGTGGAATAAAAACCCAGGAGCTCAGATACAGGATAAGATTGATTTTTTCGTCACCCATAGTTTTTACTATTTTTTGACAAAAATAAATCAAATCAAATATTACGTCATTCCCTGGTCGAGGGATTGTGCAATAAAAGGTTAGAAATAAAGGATTTAATTTTCTGGGCATTTATTCATAGATATTTTACAAGCCTGTCAAACTTAAAAATACTTTACAGAAATAATTTTCACCCTTTGGAAATTCACTGCCTTCAGCTGGGTTTGAAACTACAAGCATGGGTTTAGGAAATCAGTACCAACATACAACTAGGATTGGGTTATCTAGTGATTCATTAATGTTTTCAGATGAAAAAAGTGTTGAAGAAGAAGTAGTAACTGGCAATGGGAGGAGAAGCTCTGATGAATCAACAAATTCTGAAAGAGATTTTAAGCGAAAATATCAAGCTATTACTCATCGGATGGTACATCGAAAATCCAGTGTAGAAATGTATAAACGATTGGCCTCAAAGTCTTTTGGTAAGTGAAGTGTGCAATTCATATCTGAGACTCTATCATTTCATGAAAAGATCTTCTCTTCAAAGTGATTAAATGTATGTGTTTCTGTGAACTACATTGTAACTTTCATTCATGAAGCTTGTTATTTGTTTAATTTATTCCTTTTCCAGAAAAGGAAAATTCTCAATATAATTTACTACACTCGTTGATACTTCAATGTTTGGGAACATTTATATAAATTCTTCCCAATTAACTGAAAACCTGCGCCAAAATAATAAAAAATTTCTTTGAAAAGGTTCTAAAACAGGAACTCTGTTTTGTTGTGATATAAGTAAATAACTCTGGAAATTACTTTTGATTAAAATGATGAGTTTTTGAATTTCCTTTGTGAAGAAAAATAGACTTATATTTGTTAATACACATCTGACACTCAGATTGGTACATAAAATGATGTTCGTTTACAATTTCTATGATTTCACTAATGAATGATGAGTGGAAGTCCCTTTTTATTTTAAAGGTTTTCTTTCTTCCTTACTATAATTTCATGTACTTGCATGTGTTTACATCATTGGTTTCTACTAAAGTATTTTCAAACCTACCACAGATAGTAAAAAGAACATCTTGGCTAAAATCTGAGTGAAGAAGGCTAAGAATAAAAGTAGTTGTTATGTAGTAATTACTGCCAGAAGCAAGAACAAGCTTGGACCAACACTGCTGACTTGATGCCATTATATTCTTAATGTGACCTTAGGAACACAGAAGAGAGCATGATTATGGATAAAGAAATTAAAATTGTGGTAGTTCATAAGTGCAGTTACTTTCTTTAGCACGTTCTTTGAGTTTTCTTTACCTCCTATCTTTTCATTGAAGTCCAAAACTTATGCTTTTGATGAATGTGTTATCCATTCAATAAGACAACTTCTGCCATTATAAATAATATGATTTAATACTCCATGCCAATTCATTTTTGAAACAAAGCAACTGATTAGGGATTGCAAGCAATTTAAAACTTCAAATTCTAACTAATACTGACTTCTTTCACACATTTTCCTGACATTGATTTCTCTGCTAACTATTTGAATTTCTACTAGGAGAACTAAACAAACACTGTAATGAAAATCGACTAACCAATAACAATCAAATAGAAATAAATATCAGCAGATTACAAATTGTGATTTAATTTCACAGAAGAAAGTGATGATAGGAAATCCAACTTACTACAGCTTCATCTTGAAGAAATTTTGCAGCAAATGCTGGCAATTTGGAGAAAACAAATATGGGCCTTAAAGGTCAGGGGACGAGAAACTGTTGGTAAGACCAATGATTATGAGGCAGGAGCAGAGTAATTGAAAATAATTTCTTATCATATTTTAGGGGGCTAATTTTGTTGAAAAATAAACTATGACTGAATGAGGTACAGAGGTATTCTGTGTTTTAAGACCTAAAGTTTCCAATCATTTTTATTTGTAGGACTTGTAAATAATAGAAAAATGTTTTGTATGGTATTTGAGAGTGAGTTTTGTCAAACAATTTTCATATACTTGTTTTCAAATATATAAATTCTTGTTTGTAAAGTTTTAAATTACAGTTGCAAAATTTTTATTTTTAGTTAAAAGTTGATGAGAAAGAATGTGCTGGCTTATGCTACCTTTTTTTGCTATTCACAGAATGTGATAAAACAGTTGTGGTCCGTCGGCAGTCAGGAGAATTTGGCTTCCGTATTCATGGCTCACGGCCTGTGGTAGTCTCAGCAATTGAACCAGACACACCTGCCGAAACATCTGGACTGGAAGTGGGAGATATTGTCATAGCTGTCAATGGTGTCAATGTTTTAGATGCATCTCACTCAGAGGTTGTAAAGATAGCTCATGCAGGTAATAGTTATTACTTATTACTATTAAATAGGGTGTTATCAAGAAACAACCTTCTTAGATGCATAAAACCTCTTAATTATAATTTTTGAACCAGAACATTAAGAGAGGAGATTTATGTCAGCATTTCTCAAAGAGGAATTTTAAAATAATAAGATGGAATTAAACAAATGAAAACCTTTTACTAACAATATTTTGCCATCACATTAATCATCATGGTTTATGTTTCAGAAAAGAATTTCTAGTCTCCTTTGTGATATCTTACGATAGATTTAATTAAAAAAAAAATACTCTTTCACTGATGACTCTTAACAATTAAAATTTTAGTACCTAAAATTAAAGGAAGATGCTTTTTTAAGAACATATAAAAATATTATATCCAAAACAATTTGATTTAATAATATTATTACAAAATAATAATTTTGATAAACACAATACATGTAAATTATTCGTAACATGAATAATAAAGCAAGAATAAAACTACATATTCCATAATCGAACACCTGGACCAATAATACAATTTACTCAAAAGAGTAGATAACTCTAAGATATAGGAATAATAATTATTAAAGACACTAAAAAATGGTGCTAGATAAACAATTCCTTAATTTAATGTATTTCATGAAACAATTACCAGAGTTATGCATATACTAGTTTTCAATTTGGTTATTCCTGAAATATATTCTTAATTTTTGTAGGCTTCTAATTTTCTGGATTGTGATTATTTGGAATGGCATTATTTATCTAAGCAGGAGTGGATCCAGAGATAAATTTTAGGAGGGGACATTTTTTTATTCAAAGTGATTTGGTCAAAAGTGTCATATTACAGATTATGCAGAATGCCACAGGCTAAACTCAAACTCATGTCGCTGTACAATTTTATTCATTTCAATGATAATAAAAATGTTTTTGCTTGAAAAGTGCCATGATATGTTAAAATTAATAGTTATTGATAAATTTTAGGAGGAGAAATTTCCCTCATTTCCCTCCCCTTGGATCCATGCCTGCTCTAACAGATGTAGAGGTGAGATGATTTACAATGTGTAGGAATGAGTGAGAATATCAGTGTATGAAAGGAATATAGTTTTTAACAAATTCTTAGTATTGCTATTCTAATTATAAAACCAGATAAATTGGATAGATACATTTTTTTCCTTCATGTGGCTTCATAATATGAGAATTTTTATTCATTTGTAACCTCCATGTAAATATAGACAGATTCTTAGATGATTTTGTTCATTCCTGAACTCTATTGACACATAGGATAAGGACCAGTTGTGAAAAATTTGGTGTGAAATAATTGAAGTCATTTTTGTGAACTTAGATTTATCCAGAGAGCCAGCTTTTGCCGGCTTTGCCATCTTCATCAATCTTGCTGTATGTGGTGAGAGTCAGGTGAAAGAATTTTGTCACATATAGCAAGACTGATAAAGACAGCAAAGCTATTTGTGTCAAAGCTAAGCCAGCTATCTGAATAAATCCAAGTTGACAAAGATGACTTCAATTATTTCATCCTTTTATAATGTCAACAACACTTCATCAGCTTTCCCACAATTTGTGAAAGATATAACCACACTATTCTGTGAAAAATGTTTTTGATGAACTGTGATTGTAGTTCTGAATGACTATGTAATATACTTCAGTAAAATTTGCTCATAAAATCTACAGTATTACAGTATTAAATTCTACAATTCTACAGTATAATGAGGAACCTTGTCTCATAGGTTAAAAAATACTGATCCCTAGAGATTCCATGTTGAGCAAGTTTTACTGTATTTTTGAGTACAGAATTTGATTCTCTACCAGGGGCAGATCCAGCCGATCATTTTGGGAGAGAGCCATCTTAGATTTGTGTTAAATAATAAACATATCTGTTATTATATTATATATTATTTATGTACTTAAATATGATACTATACAGTATTATTGTTTAAACAATTACATAATTTGAACATAAATAAATATTTAAATCAATTTTGCTAAATAAAGGAAGGATCTGCCAATATTCTCCATTGACTATTTAAATTATGTCAAAATTGGCTTAGAAGGTTTTGTCAGTCAATTCTCCTATTTGAACATTGCTATTTTGTTGTTTTTTTTTGATGTGTCGTTGTTGCTGCTTTTTTTTTATTTAGTCCTGCTTTCTGTTTCACAATACTTATTACTAGTCAGGATTCCCATGCACTATCAAAAACTAAAATATACTTGCAATCATGCCCTAACAAATAGCCAGTTCAGGGTAAAAGTTGACAAAACATGCACAATCAAATTTTGGCTAAGTATATTTTTTGTTTTATTAGCCTTTGTAACAATTTTTCTAAATTTTACTCTAACAAATTCATCTTTTGTCAGAAACTAATGTTTTTGAAAGCAGAAAATGCTCTCCATGTCTCAATTTGTATTTAGAGCATACTTCAAAGATGAAATATGAGACAATGTGAGGTCAAATATCTGCATTATCTGATTTTCAAACACAAATAAGGTTTTTTATTTTTTGAAAAAAATTTCAAATCAGGATTTGAGTTTAATGCTAATATACAGTAAAATCTGTCTAATTCGGTACCTGAACAAACTGGAAGCCTGCCTTAAATAAAAAAAATTTCTGGCATGTGAAGTTACATGGCATTTTACACAGACAGCATAAAATGGAACTTGCCCACTGGGGAAACGGAAAGGTTTTTCATGTTCTGCAGAAAACAAACTTTATAAAATGTTACTGTGATTTCTGACAAATGCAATTGGCAGAGAGACAGGAGATATTCTTAGTGGAAAGAATGAATCTCCAAGTCTGTTTTAAATTCTCTGTTCCTGTGACATATGAATTAGTTATGGCAGCGGGGTTACGGCAGTGAAGGAGAGGAGCAACAGCTGTCATCATAGAGTTCAACTTTGGAATCGCTAATTTCTCAAGTTGTAGAGGAATTTCTCTCTCCCAGCTCTCTGGACGTGGGAAGGTGTATGGGCATGGCTTTGTTCATGCATCTCTTCACTCTGCATTGAGAATCATAACCCCTTAGCTAGAGACATATTGCTCAAGGCCATGCGAGGGTATCAGAAATACTTAGTGCTCTAGGCTGTGACACATTATGCATTGAAATAGTCAGCAAGCAGACTGATTACAGACCCTTGGCAGTAAGGTAATGTGTATTTTTATGATTTACCTGTTAAACAACAATGTTTGAAAAAAATCATAAAACTCTAACCTTAGATCAAATGTAAATTTGTTTTAATAATAAATATAAAGTCATGTAATTTACTAGTTTCAGTTCAAAATATCAATATCATAAGTGTCTTAAAAGTGGGCAAACCTTCATAATAAGGAAAACCCTTTAAACTGGAATTTTTTTGTCCCAATCGATTTCAGCTTAGACAGATTTTACTGTAATTTCTCCTTGGCAGTTACACTCACATCTCCAAGAACTTATTCCAAAGACATTTTCATTTCATCAATAATTTTTAATGACCCTCTAGAGGTAAACCTACTATTTCCAATTTTTAAATTGCTTCAAATCATTTTACAAAATTTGATTAAATATAACTTTTGATTTTGGTATTTTAACATATGTTATTTTATTTTATATTTTTGCATGCAAACAGACTGAGAGTCTGCTCTTGATTATTTTCCCCTCCCATTGTCAGTTATCAAGTGATTCTGAGTTAAGGCTTCCTGTATCTAAATTATCCTTTCTGACTTTCTTGCTTAGTGTTTATTCATTTTGCAATTGTTGCTCCTAACACCTGTACTGGAGGATTAAAATTTGTAGTAAGACAATAAACAACTGTCAGGATCTAAGAATAGTATGCTATTTACATTAAATATGCATCAATTTTAATATTCACAAATTAGGTAAAAATATAATAAAAAAGTAACTAATATGCTACAGAGAAGTCTAAATATGCAGTATTAATTCAAAAACAATGTTCTAACATGCATTATGCATGAATTTCTTCATAATAAAAGTTACCAAAACATGCAATCATCGACAGAAAAAGTATCGTCATCACAGGCTACTTGGACCCTTAGGGTACTTCTTGAAATCATGCAAAAATAAAAATGTTTTCAGCGGTTGAAACCACTTACACATTGCATTGATCAGTTAGTTTGCAGTTGCTTCCATTCAATGGCAACAAAGTGCAGCATTAAACATGTTTAGCATAATTTGGTGGTACGCCTGTAAGTTACAGCACTCTATTGTCAGGGTTTGAAATTGGTTGAATTTGATCCCTGCAAACTTTTATCTCCACACTCGATTTTCAAGATAGTTAATCAGGGATAAGTTTACATTTCATTAATTATATATTTGTTAATATAACTGCTATGGATTCTTCATCATTAGTAGAATGCCTTTCCCAATTTTTTTAGATTTCCTAATTGTGAGCACATAATCTCAAAAACATGGACTACTTGGACCCAAGATTGCAGTAGGGTCAAGAAGCTTGCAGGTTTCTTTTTTATCCTTTTAATGCGTTTATCATTTTATTTCAATATTTAAAACTTCAACAATGCTCCTTTTCTTTTGCTTATTCCGTAACTGGCCGGTTTTATACACAAATACAGAAGTCTGCCTGAAGTCGGAAATACGAGGACCAAAAGCTTGCGAAATATTTGGCAACAATTCAGTCAGGAATAAAGTCACATTGGCAAGCTTGAAAATAAGACAATTGACTATAAAAAGGAAATGGAAAAACAAATTCAAACCCATTCAGAAATCAGTTCATTCAAAAGTTGTTACTGAAAATTAATTAGCCTTAGGAAGCCACCTTGCCAAAATCTGTATTGTGAAGACTATGGGTGGCAGATCTCTCACTGCTCTCAAAGGCAATTCCCAAGGAAAAGATTGGGTAAAATTATTTTTAATTAGGCATTCAATGTTAACGATAAAAAATTAGATAATAAAAATTGTCTTTCAGCTATTGAAGTTATCTTTGTGTTCATAGTATATTAACATTCATGTTTGTATCAGAAAACCTAGGAACCACATGGACTCAGTGCAAATCTCAGTGGTTTTTATAAACAAAAACATTAGGTGGGTTCAAGTAGCCCACACACCAGTGTAACTTGAACCCAATTTATAAAAAATTCCTTTGTGCTTTATATTGAATATATCTTATCAAACTACTCTTGAGCATTTTACATACAGCCATTACATTTATATAAAAAATTAAACATTTTTTTTCATTTCTCATGGATTAGTAAAGAAAAAACTATGGAAGAATAGAAAAATTTGGTCCAAGTATCCTGTGTTTAGGGTATGCATTTTAAAGTGAGTTTGCCAAGAAAGACAGTTTCGCACAGGCTCTGAGTCTACTGCACCAACTTAATTGGATTCTAAAATACACTATAGATCAATTTTGAAAATTTTTTCATAATTTAAAAGATCCAACCAATATATCTTTCATGAAAAATATTTTCATTTATTGTAAATTTATACAAAATAACTTTTTTAATGTATTATATTTTTAATTTGATTTGTTAATATGTTCATGTTTTAGTATCAGACTGAAGAAAAGGAATTATTTCAGCCAACGTAGAAAGATTTTAAAAATAAATATCAACATTATGTAACACTGAACTATGATTACTACCCTATGTGACACCCCCTATGTGACACAGAATACCACTGCCTCAAACTCCCTCTCCTTATCTTTAGTGTTATGCCCCCTTATGGATGACCCCTTATCTGAAATAGTACATAGAAGAGCCTAGTGTCACATCAGCATAAAAGGTAGAAAGGTGGCTGCATATCTCAGAGGCTCAGTCAGGGGAGGGAATATCTATTGGATTCCAATAGGTGCTGAGATGTAAAAGTGGAACGCACATACATATAATACTTTTTAGTGTATTCTAAATTAATACTTTAATTTTTTTATCTCTTACAGTTGCTTTAACCACCCTTAAGTTCATGGCTAAATGTTAAATAAACCTATTAAGGAGGGTCTTATTTATGATGGAATTTTAAATGCAAGTAAATGCAGTACTTTTCATTCGTTCTTTTCCTTTTTCTTGTCAGGTTCTGATACTCTTGAATTGGAGGTTGCTCGAACTTGCAACGTTCTCACTCCTGTGCTGAGAGAACCTGGATCTGGAAGTGCATTGTACTCTGGGTACCTATGGAAGCAGGGTAGCACGGTGGCAAGTGGAAATGGTCGAAAATGGGTCCGGCGTTGGTTCTGTCTCAAAAGGGACAATTGCCTCTACTACTATAAGACTGATGCTGTAAGTTTAAACAGTGTTTTTCCATTATTTAACCAACCACTTTAGTGTGTATGCTGAACATGACACATTGAATGCAAAGGTGGTTCATCGCATCCTTGTACCTATTTATTATTTTAAAGTAAATGCTACAGGTATAACTGCATTAATTTTCATATTTTCAACCCTAGAGAGTTATCAGTTCATATCCATCATATACAACAATTGTAGCCACAGAAGTAACATTCTAACATTCCCGTTCCGGCAGTTGTAGTACCCTATTTAGGGTCCACAACAGTGATTGCCCTCTCATTTAAAACGTTATCTCTCATTCCGTAAATTGATGCTCATATAAATTTATCCTTTGAATTGATGCTTTAATAAATATAATTGCATGATTAAGTTATCTCTTACCTAAAGCAAAGAGACCTGGTACATCTTTATTTCTTGATTCCAACCATGAACGTAAGAAGGTTGAAAAAGTGCTTGAGTTGTAAGGCGCATCTGAACTTAAATGAAAAATTTGGCACATACTATTTACAAGATTGGCCACCTTGTGTTTAATCCAAGGTTTCCAAAATAAATTTTGAATTTGTTTATTTTTATAATAATGAACATATTGTTGAAAAAATAATACTCAAAAATATTTCTTCAATAATATTCAAAGTATGTTACATACATTTTAAATCCAAATTTCTTAAAATATCTTTGGCACTTGCTACCTCTTTAAAACTCATTTATAAAATGTGGAAATTACTTTCTGTCCTTCAATGTTGCTGATTGTTATAATGTCAAGTCTGTAATAGTGTAATAATTAAATTACATCTAATATTAAAGGACAGAGAGTAATTAACTGAAATATCCACAATGTGTGTTTTAATGTTGTTGAAAATTCAGTTTTGTTTAAATTGCATTCAAAATTAACTAATTTATGGTTACACATCAGAATTTATTAACTCTTCTTTCAAGGCATTGTTTATGTAACATACTTGTGGTAGTTACATTAATGCTGACATTAGCTATACATAAAATGTTTATAAATTCAATAAATATTTATAATGTATGCTAAGTATCCAAAATAAGGTATTAAGAATAGACAATAAATACAAATACAGTATCTCAATTATTATCATTTTGTGGTCCAACATTTCATGTTATCATTCAGAGTAATGAGGATATACCATATTATCATTTAATTTTATTTCAAAATATTGTATTTTATTTGAATACTATGAATCAGTTGTTTACTTAAATTTTTACATATAGTCTTATTTTAAATACATCAGAAACGTACACCAGAAAAATTTGCAAGTTTTGGAATTAATGTAGTATTGTATTATAGTGTATTACTGAATAACTTTTGGAATTAGTGGATTTGACATGTTTTATTCATACAATTACAAATATTTTTCTTTCTTTTTCTTATAAATTTTGGAAAAACTTGAGTTAAAAATGTAGCTACAAGGAAAGATTATCATTCATATTGTCTGCCCAGGAGAGTCAACCATTGGGAGCATTGATGCTGACAGACTACAGCGTAATACGCACACCAGACAGCGGCCATGCTCACAGCTTCCAGCTAACACGAGCTGGGTGTACTGGACTTCATTTAGCTGCTGATTCTGAGGAGGGTGCTACTCGCTGGCTTGCTGTCATCAGCCACTCTATTGAGCGCAACACCCAGGTAACATTGTCATTCCAGTAAGATTATCTACACAATGTGTTCTTTGTCTTTGAGATCTGTGCCTCATAAGAAGTAGCACTATCAACCTTGCCAAGTCCTCATTACCTACGTGCCCACATTTCACGGGAAAGCATATCTCATACTAAACCAGTCATCTGTTCATTGTCATTTACTGATAGAAAGCCCAACCATTATATGCTTTATAATGGATTAACAAAAAATGTTTTAAAAAAAATCTTTTTATTTTTTAACCTTTTAGATAGATTGTTTTCTTCCTTTAGCAGTGCTTGTGATAAGGACTTTTTTAAATAGACAAATATGCTTGACCCCAACTTAAAGTTTATTAAGGTCAATAATTATTAATATCGCCAACATCACCTTCCCTTTCCTTGTTACTTGTTCTTCAATATTTCAAAAACAAATGAATTCCCAATTAAAGAAGTGTAGTTTGCAAACACAAATTACAATTTAATGTTTTTCTTGTTTTCTTGAGAGAAAAAAAAGGTCGCTTACACACAAACATCCCAAACCTGAAGAAAGTCAATGGGATTTTTCAAGCAACATCTGAAACTTGTTACCTTATCTTATTCTTCTTTTTAGATTTCTTCTTTTATGTAAGACTGCCATCTTCAGGTGAACGCAAGCAATTCATGGTGCCTTATTTTGCTTCTTACGTGCACCCATACGCTTATTTTGCTTCTTGCTTCTTACGTGCACCCATCTTGCACAACGCTTTCTCATGTGCAATTCTTCATGCAAAATGAAACAGACGCGTTCCTTTGAATCCCTAACTGTCTCAGGCTATTTTCACAGCACCTTTGGTACATCGGATCTTCCAAAACCATATTCCATGCACTTTTTCAATGGGAGTTTCTGCTGGGAGTTGCATCTTCGGTACATCCCTCACGTGGATCATCTCGATGGCTGGTCACGGCCCTTCTTTAAATCAGATGCCATTTCTTTACAGTGGGAAAAATCGATGGGGAAGAGTCAGCCATACACTTTTTAAGATCCTCGAATGAATTTCCGTCGGCGACAAACCATCTTTTACGAAGAACTTTTTCACTGCACGATACTCAAGTTTCTCCATTTCCATGAATTCTTGCACGGCGCCTGACTCAAACGGCTGCCTACAGCGAACCAGCAGCGAACTACCGGGTGGAATGACGTGCAATTTCACGCACAGCCTTCTGAAGGCAATACTAACCACTCCAATATACTCTCTGATACTAACACGAGGCAAAAACATCATGCTACTAGTGCTGCATCATGCATCATGCTACCAGCGAGGCTGAGAACTTTTCAGACCACCTACGTAAAGCCAAAGCATACTGTAAATGTGTGAAATACCACAGCAGCCCATGATCACTTGTATCGTGTCTCGAGACATGTCTGTATCAACACTTCCCTTCCAGATTGTGTAGGTCAGAATTCCAATGTATAAGAATCACCAAAGCTCAGCTTTTTATCCTCTGTAAGCAAAGTGATAAGAGCTGATACATGCCTCTGGAGGTCAGGGGAGAAATACTCCATTCGTACTGCTAATGTGATATATTCTGGGAAACCGTATTCCTGTTTGTTATTAAAAAATTAAAGAAAATTGACATTAATAGCATGTTTTAAGACATTGATCGACCAAGATCCATAGATTGGGATCCCAGGTAGCTGCCTAGTTTACTTGAGGAGAGATATACAGCCACTGTATCAATTATTTCTGATATCTTTTGTGGCCTTAAGAGGACATTACTCCCAAAAAGTTTCCAAAGTATCTTCTTTCCTCTTTTAATTTTTGTGTACACATTCATGCTCTAATTGTTTCACCTGGCAGAGGTTGTATCTTGCCCATTAATGTATCTGATCCCTGGGAAAAAAACAGACCCAGAAAGAGTTTCATTTCATAAATGTGTTCTAACATCATGGGCTCTTATTGTTCAGTATTTTAGTGACTGTTAGATCCATAACTTCATATATTGAGGTCTTTTTATGTAAAATAATTAATATAAATATATAAAATTCATCAACCACTTGCAAACACAAAAATCAATTATTTTCTTTCATGTAATGCAAAAGAAGTTCATAAACATAGAAACATGGTAAATGTTAATTTAATTTCAGATTGTGTGTTTAATGTTCATATTACATATTATAAAGTACATATTTTTAAATACAATCTTGAACACAAATAATGAGTGTGATTTGCATACAACAGAAAACAGTAGTTGTTGTTGTTGTTGTTGTTGTTGTTGTTTTGTACTTTTCACATCCATGGGATGCTGTGCAGTCCAAGTTTCTTGGATAAATTTCACATCTTGTCTTGATAGTTTTGTTTCTTGCAACTTCTGCTTTGTGCTTCTTAATGCATTTATTGTGCTATTTTATGAATCATCTCTTGCAGCAGCCATAATACTATTTGCTCTCAGATGAAGGGATAATACGATGAAAACTTCCATCTTCAATTTTTGTTTCTGGTAATTTCTGAAAGTGTCAGTAATAATTTTTCCTTCTGAAAGCATGTCTATTTGCACTGTACCACAAAAAATCTAGGTTATTGCATGCACTCTGCTTGTCAATGTGGGTCTAACATTGAGCATTACAATGTGCTTAATCAAAGTTGTATAATTTTATGGTGCAGGTAGATGAATGGTTGGATTTGAGTCATCGTAACTTACGTCTGGCTCCTAGCGCTGTTCACCAGCCAGACTGTTTTGGCTACCTCATGAAGCTGGGCCAGCGTTGGAAAGCTTGGCAACGGCGATACTGTGTGCTCAAGGATGCTTGCCTCTACTTTTATCAAGATGGCAGTTCTGATTCTGCTTTAGGTGAGTGTTTTGTTACTTAACATTACAGATGGGAGGAAAATGGTTCCCAATTTAATAAGTAACTTTTCTTTATTTTGATTTGTATTAGTTATGAACTTGTGCTGTTCAATTTCTTGGGAATCAATAATAAGCATTCTGTAACTAAATTGGGTTTCATAAGTGAAGTTCTAATTTAAAAATAATTCTTCTTCTGCTTTTCCTCTTGAAAATATTTCGTAATATAAAATAAACTTGGTATTTTAGAAGGTATTTTTAATATATTTAAAATAAAATTACAATAAATTACTATGTAAATTATAAATTTACATATAAAATGAAACCCAATAAAATAAAATAAAATAAAATACATTAAAATAAAAACAATTGAAAACTCATTTTCCCTTCCAATAGAGTTATTACTAATTTTTCTGTTTTTTCTTCTCATTTCTTCTTCTTCCTCTTCACTTCTCCCTCTTCTCTTCTCCTTCTTTTCCCTCCTCATTTTCTCCCTCTTCTTCTTCTCTCACTTCTTCCTCTTCTTCTTTTCCCGCTTCTCCCTCTACTTCACACTCTTCTTCCTCTTCTGATTTTCCCACTTCTCCCTCTTCTTTTTTCTGCCTTCTTTCCATCCTTTCTCCTCTTCCCCCTCTCTTCTCTTTCTTCTCTTCTTTTCTGCCTTCCCCTTCTATTTCTTCTCCTTCTCTTTCTTCTTCTTTCATCTTCCTTTTTATTTTAGCCTATCTTATTCTTTTTTACTAATATTGTTCTTAAACATTTAAAAAACAACTACAATCCCTGATAATTATTATTTGAAATATTTTCTGGCCATAGGGCTTGGAAGAATAAATCAATTATTTCCTTGGTTGAAATAGTATATAGTACATATTCAAAAAAAAAACTCCATTGAAGATAACCAACTACTTTTGTTTTATGTTTGTTTTCTGTCATGTATTGAAAATATATTTCAACCTAGGGAATAATTTGATTTATTTTTTCAATCTCTTATGGTTGGGAATCATCTCTACCACTAGTTATTGTTTTTGTTGTTATTAATAATGTCATTTCTTTCAGGAATGGTATGTCTGCATGGTTATAGAGTGCAGAATTCAACTGCTGGAGGTAAAAGATTTGCCTTTGAGATTCTTCCTCCAGAACCACACCAACGGCACTATTATCTTCACACAGACTCAGAAATGGATAAGAAAAGGCAAGTGTATGCGTTTGAACTAGAACACTTTTTCTAGTTTCTTTATCCACGATAATCTCCTCTTCTACTTTCCTGAGGTCTTGTTAAGAATATAATGACATGAAGCCAGTAGTGTTTGTCCAACCAGCTTGTTCTTTGCTCTTGTTCTTCTTACTTTTATTCTTAGTTTTTTTGGCTCAGAGTATATCCATTCATCCTACTCTCTGTGCTAGGTTTGAAAATATGTAATAGAAGTCAACATTTTTGGAACAAAATTAATACTTTTAAAATATTATAATTAAATAGTGGATAAATTGTATATTTATTCCTAAAGTACCTTAATGAAATATTATCTGAACCCCTGTGATGCCATAACACAAAGAAAGAACTGTAGTTACAATAGAAAAGTGCAACAACTGCATGTAAAATGGAAACTCCCCAAAAATATGTTCAGAACTCTATTCATGTCATTGAGCACAATTCCAAAATGAATCAGATAAAATTAATCAATACAATCACTATGCATTTTGAACCTAGATTTAAACACATTTCTGGAAATGTAAGTGAAATGTTTTGTTTACTAATATCTGGACATACATTATTTGCACGTATATTTAAGGACAGCAATGAAATCAATATTATCCTTCCATGACCCTATACTTCTGTGAAAATGTCAAATGATGTTCCTAAGTGATAAAGCTCTAAAGCAACTATTTTTCAGTGAAACTCACAGCTGTCCATCATATTTTGTTCAAATTTTACTGCATTTTTTTTATTTCCAAGAACCACTTAAGAAGTAGGCATTTTGTGATAGATAATTTTTTTTTTTTTTATTACATGACAAGCTCAAATCTGTAAGTATTCTGATATTGAAAAGACAAAAATTTCTTATAAGTTAATTAACGGCTTTATTGAATTTTGAAATCTCAGACAAAATTTGCAAAAATGTTGATGTGACAGAAATATTTAATTTGAAACTCAGAAAGGAGGGAAGCAGTAGAGTTTGAAAATAACATATTTACCAAAATGTCTCTTAACAGGCCTGCCAATACATTATATTTGAAGGATTTTCATAGTCAGATAATTTTTTTTGTCACATCAACATTTTCACAAATTTTGTCTAAAATTTCAAACTTCAAGAAAGTTGACTATATCACAAAATCCTACTATTCATCTTAACTCAAAAACCTATTGAGTCACATACATTTGTAATCACTGAATTTTCTTGTAAAGGGACAGATATTTCAAACAATTGCTGGATATTGATTTTACATACATCCTGTAATTTTTCCATTTATCAACACTCAATCTTTGAACTTTGAACGACTTTATATATCTTTGCTTCTATGACTATAACCTTACACTTGCATGTGCTTCATTTATTTTCTCAAAGATGATCTCGACCTAGGCAAATCACATAACGAACAAATGATGGCAAGTAAGTTAAAAGGTGTCATTCGCCTTTTCACTAGTGACCAGAAAAATTTGTTCAGTATATTTGTGCTGGGAAACTGTATCAGCATAAAACTTTTGATTTCCCAGCACAAATATACTGAACAAAAACATTCCACTTGAACTAAATTTAGGTAGATTAGTATACTGATTTTATTTAAACCTCAAACATTACCCTAAAGTAAATCAAGTTGTTTTAAAACAAGATATGTATATTATTCTTTAAAGAGAGTACAGAGACCTGCAAAATCCTTTCTTTGGTGGACAGAGAATCTTAAGTTCATTAGCTCATCCAAGTAATATCAAAAACTGAAGTTATTAGTTATTTATTTAGAAGTTATTAAAGTTTTTGTTTCAAAATTTTTTTTACTCTATTTCTTCTTACTTTATCTTTCTTTCTTTTTTGTCTTCTTCCTCTTCTTTTTATTGTCTTTTTTTCACTTCTCTTTTCTTCTTCTTTTTCTCTTCTTCTCCCTTGTCTTCTTTTCTTCTTGATTGATATTTTCAGGCAGTCAACTTCTCTTGTCATTCGCTCCATTAGTGTAGAGAAAGTTTTATTGCTGCAGTATTCCTCTCCCACTATGTGTGGGGAGTATGAGAAGAGAAAAAGACAAGGAAGAGGTAGGAAAGATCACACATGGTCCAAGGTCCATTTTGTTAGAGTTCTTTTACGGCATTCACCTGGTATTGATCAGAACCAGAAACTACTGCTCAGAGTAGCTGAAAACTAGAGTTCTCCTTCGGACAGGAACTGAATTCAATCTACTGAAGTAGTGTTGAAAATCCGTATATGGCAAGATTTGAAATGTAGGACTTTCCAGTCACTCTCTGCAGAAAGAAAAGCAATGAGCTAATTTCAGCTAATCAACAGCTCTGAGCTAAGCTCAGCCGGTCTATTTTCTTTTTCTCCTTCACTTCCTCTTCCTTCTTCTTTTTCTCTTCTTCTCTTCTCTTCTTCTTTTCTTCTTCTTTCTTTCTTTTCTTTTTTTTCTTGTTTTGTCTGGATGAGCCCTTAAGCATATTTGGAACTTCCATCATTAGCCCAGAGGATTACTATCTTCGACTATTTGTTTAGAACCTCTTTCTGGTAGCTTGGGAAAGACATGCTCCTTTCATTTTTCTTTACCTTTCTTTATATTTTTCTTACCTTTTTGGTTATGTTATGTATCCTTAATTCAACCCTTATGCCAACTAGCAAAAACCTGGCTTAGTGACATTTCATTTTACTTAGAAGGTTGATCCAAAAAGAATCTTTATTACATTATTTGATTTCAAACACCTATTAGAGATAATATGTGACTCTTTTTCACTTCTAAAAGACATAACTTAAATGCTATCTTTTTCATGTCAATATGATACTATTAGAACTTCTATGACACACTTCAGTTATGTAAACAGGATGTAAATTAGATGCACTTTGACATAAAAGTTTTCATATAAGTCAGGATATTATATTGTTATCATGTTATTAGGATACAAATAATAATACATTTTTTGTAGTCTACTCCAAATCACAAAACCATATTCCTGTAACAATCACAACCAATGCCCTAGAACATAGGTTTCCACTGTTTGCTTGTTGAAAGAATTTAATAAACACTGTTCATTCATGATGGCGTCATTACAACTGACCCAAGCAGTGAACGGTTCACAAAGATTTTTGGATGCCTAAAGAGTGTGTATAGTATCCACAACACAATTCTTTTTTTGGAATTACTAGCACAATGTAGAATAGAAGTATTTCATACCATGACATCATTTCCAGGATGTCCACAAAAGATCCCGAAAGTGATATTTTGGAGACTTCCCGAATGGATCGTAAAAGAAATGCATGAGATGTAAATGAGATGGCATTATGATGTGTCTTTGCATCCTAGAATCATTTCATTTTGAATTGTGTCTTCTTTGCTCTTACGACCTGAGAAACATCATTTTTGATGCTTCTATTTTTCTAGGTCTCTATTTCTCAGCTTCCAGATTTCCACTCTATGTATAATCCAAATTGGGTAGGTCCTGAGTGAAAAATTTTAATTGTTTTTTGCTCATTATTCTACTTTTTAGTATTATTCTTATTGTGCTACACATGTGTAAATAAGTTGTTGTTTTTTTCTTTTTCTGTTATCTTTTTATAGGATATGTCCCACCCAAATCAAAGTTTTAGAAATGAATGATATCTGTTCTATCAGACTGGTTATTCTCTGAATTCTTTTTAGAGTATTTTTACTATCTGGAAGCATCTGTAACAAAGAATGGAGATAAAGGTTGTTCTTGTTTCAAGTGCTTAAAAAATATTAAAAATCTCAGACATCTGTAATATACCCTATCAAGAGCCACTTTTCAAATTATGAACCCAAAATAACAAGTTGAATGAAAGTATTAATAAATTTTAAAAACCAAAATGAAACAAATATTATTTTGTTGCAGTTACAGTGATATATTTAATGAAAAATAACAGCTTTAGCTTTGGCTTTGGTCTTGCTATTGAAACAGTTTTCAATGGTTTTGGTTTCAGTTTGATGCCTTGGTATAAAGTGATGATACGCAATTAATTATATGTATTATAATGGTGGTCTTATTTTTTCTCCTCTNNTTTTTAATTAGCATGACTGAATGCTGACATTCTCAAATCTCTTAACATTATGAATTTGTTTTTATATAAATGTTAAACAAAAAATGTTTCAACAATTAATATACTAACCTTTGCAATCTGAAATTCACATATAAGTATGAAATGTTTTGTATGCTCTTTTTGCATTGACCAACTTTCAATTTACCTGGTCCTAAACCTTTCCCAGAAGTTTATTACACTATCAAAATCTTACAAATTTGCAGATGGTTGGCTGCTTTGGAATATTCTATAGATCGATGGATAAAAGTTGGGTGACGTCGGCCTTTCGGGTCTTCTGACGAAGATGGTGCAGGAGATCCCTATACTCCACCTACTTCATCATGAATGTGATGAAAACGAATTGATGTTAAGCAAAGGCAGAAAAATTGCAATGCAATCTTCATTTTATGGACCATAGTTGTTAATATTTGTATCTTCATAAGGACAATTTTTTTTCCTGCAACCAAAGCTGTGCTGGAATACTGCTCCTGGTTCTTTCAAGAAGCATTGGTACACGATATAGTGGTGGATTTGAATGAAACATTAAAAATAATTAATTGCTATACTTGTGCAATGAAGATGTTGTGTGTAGTAAAATAATTTTATTTCAAGATATCTCATTTCATGCAGATGATAGAACTGCTTATGATTGCTGTGGTGGTGTAAATTCAAATTGAAACATTGTTAATGCTCACTGATAAAGGATGAGTTTGAAACATTTTAGGAACTTCTTGTTAGAGAATAAAATTCATGTTTATAATTGAGTCATATGTTACTGAGACAAATTATGCAAAAAGAGTTGGAATATTGGAGTCATTTATTGTTAGAGGATATAAGTATGTTAAATGGAAATGTTTTGAGAAAGTCTCCTGTGCTGATTCACTTGTCTAATATAGTCCAATATCAGAACTGGAAAATTATAACTTTGTTTGATTACAGATTTTCTTGTAGGATTAGTGTGATAAAGTAATGATGAACCCCCTTTTCACCAGATACTT